AAATCAAAGGAGCACCCAATTCTAGCTAAAAGTATATTTATGGAACATTCAACTACTCAGGAAAATAAAATCAAACAATATATTGTAAATGCAACAACAACTTCGCGATAATACAAGGGGTACCTTTCAGTTCACTCTAACCCATTCATGTATCAGAATGAAAAACTTGATTTTCCCCCTCAGAAAGTAAAGATAAATTAGGATACAGATATATTGATTCACTATTATGGCTATATAAATTTAACAGTCTTTGTTTTTTTTTTTCAATTTTAAATCTGTCAGAAATAATCTTTAAAATTTTGTTGCATTGTTTTCTTCATAATTTTTACCCTTAACTACTTTACTCCGTTTGAGTATGCAGTTCTGCTGACCATCATAGCCAACTGTGTGGTTTTGGCCTTAGAAGAACATTTGCCCAGGCAAGACAGAACTCCACTGGCACAAAGGCTTGTAAGTATCAATTCACTTATAATATGCTTAAATATTAAGTGAGACAGGCACTAAATTATAGAGCTATAGTTGAAATAGTTCTGTAGATATTAAACTTTTAATGTGAGCATTTTTTGTGTTAATTCTTAAGTTTTATGAACACAATGTTATTTAGGTAAAGTAATTGAAGTGTATTTAGTGGATAAAATTTTTTAGGTATTTTATTTTGAAGCACAAATTATTTTTTACTAGAAATTTGAAATAAATAAAGTGCACTTCTTATTTAAAATTATGCAGAAATGCAAACTTAGTTTCCTGTAGATTTTGAATAATACTGTATTGATTTCGAGGGCACATAGACACAGATCTCTCTTCTTCAGGAGGTGGGGGGGCAAGGAAGCATTAAAATGTTACTCTTTATCTAATTGTCCTTTTATTCAAGTAACTGAGATTTGTTGGATGTAGATTGGTAGACTGGCTCAGCTGTGTATCAAGTATGCAAGGTATCTGGAGAAGATAATTTTTTTTAAATACTGAGCATATGTATCCATTTACAAAATACTTGTCTATGTGTTCACTCACAGAATTTTACAAAATACAGTTTAGAATTTTATGAGAAAATTTGATTAGCAAGATTTTATTTTTATAAAGCAAAATTTTTTTGTATGTCTTGCAAAGCAAAAAACTCAAAATAGTAAAGCATTTTTATAAATATAATATACATGAATTAAAAATAAAATGTTTTATATCTTTAATGCAAAAATTAAAGAGATATTCAATAGAGAATTGCTATATTAGTTATACCCTTCCCTCCCGCTTATTAGAGCATAAATTAGATCTCTTAAGAAGCAACTTAGGAAACTACAACAAAGAAACAGTTGGTGCTTTGGTATTTAATTTTAATTTAAACACCATTTTTATTAAATGTTTTTAAGCTATTTTTATGCATAGTGAATTTTTTACTAATTTTTAATTAATTCAAATTTTTGCTATGCGTGTAAAAGTTTAGATTTTAATTGTGCAAGACCCTCCTATCTCGAGGTGCAAAACTAAAAAACTAGTGTTTACACAATGTAATAGTGTTACAAATATGTGTCTATAATTATAATTTGATGTATATTGGAAGTCTGATTTGTAGTACAAAACAGGGGGAAGAAATTAGTCAATACATATTACATTCCAAATACAGTGAAATTCAGAATGTGTCATCATTTTGAAGGGTTATCATTACTTCTACATTATTATGATATATTTTTAAATAAAACTTTGTAAAGTTCTTTTGTTTATTTAATTTATTCTAGGAGTAAAATAATAATTTTTGTTTATCAGAAGTGATTTTGCACTGAATGTACGAGAAAAACTCCCTTCTGTTTATGATTTTGATTTTCTAATGTATTGAAATTAAGGTCTTTCCATAAATGCTGTTCAATAAGAGCTGAACTAATTGCAGTCAACTATTCCTAATTTTGTATACAGTATGAAGATGGAAATCCAGACATCCATTATCTGGAATGATGTAAAATCCAAACTTCTGAAAAACAACCAACCATTTTTTTTGAAGAATTTTTTTCATGCTTTATGCTTGCACATTTGATATTTTTATTACTTTTACTTGTACTGTTCTGTTATTGAGACCGGATTCAGAAATGCATGTGCATATATATATGTGTATATGTATCTGCACACATACATTCATGCTTACATATATGTATGTATATATGCATACAAGAACACATGTATCCATGCATACATGCATACATACATACATTTCTGGATACAGTCCTGATAACAAGACAGTGTCCTTTTATTTACTTGTTTTATTTTCATCACTGCATGACTATCAACACACTGCAGCTTGAAAACTGACTCTTGCATTGATGTCTTATTTTTTTTTTAATATTGGTAATTGAATACCAAAAAGCATGGTACCTTTTATATTAATATTAAGCTTGATGATGATTGCAGATTTCAGCAACTTTTGCTGCAAAGTATTGACTGTGTTGACAAAGAGAAATTTCTTTCCATATGGAAAAAGAAAAAAAGAGAGTGATTTTGTAGATGATACTTATAGCCCCCCCCCAAAAAAAAACATTTAGTGCTCTCTGAATTGAGAATAACTGAGCCCAGGACTGGTGCCAGAGCTGGTAGACTGTGTCAGGCAGCAGAATTCTTGGCAGGCAAAGTTTTTAAAACTTATACTGAATAACAAAATTAAGGGATATCAAAATCTATAGAATTTAGGGAGGTGTTTAGCAGAATTTTGGAACCCGAGAGACTGCACCTGGCCTGGATAAGCCTTTAAGTTATATGTAAGAATTTATTTATTCGGAACTGTGCTAAGTCTTAAGCATGTGTGGAAATATTTGTAATTATAATAAATAACAAAACCAATATAATTCAGATTTGATCAGCGAGTGATAGAAGCAAGAAAAAATTTAGCAAAACAGTATAGCTTTAGTCATTAATCTCATGATACATCACCAACGGTATGTAGTGAATGCTGGATAAACTTGATAACTGCAAATGTGAAGGTTTTCAGATATCGGAAGCAAAAAGTAAAATTTCAATTAACGAAATTAGTGAAGAAATGTGGAGAAGTGCTAATAAATGAAGAAGATATAACAGAAATTTGTCATTCTAGAGACAATACTGCAATCATCAGTGAACTAATGAAGAGCAAAATCTGTAATATGGTTCTAAATCCAGGAAATATCATCACCAATAGTGAAGAAAGGGATGGAAAGGTAATGAAAGGGATGGAAAGGTAATGAGAATAAAAGAATTTGATTGATAGTTCAGTGGAAATTCTCAACACATAATTACAGGACTTGAATAATGAATCAAAATTTATAACTAAACAAGAAATTATGCCCAGTTATAGAATTAAAAAGAAAGTATTAGTATGAAAATTGGAACTACTTACATTGAAAGAAATGGTCATAAAGCAAACAAATAAATATTGAGCATTTTTTTTTTTTTTTTTGGTACTATTCCGTTTTGAGGGCCGTAAAAAATTGCAGCGAAAATGTATGTGCAAAAGCGCCAAATCTAGCAAATGTATCCATTTAAAAGCGGGCCAAATCTAACGTCGCGCTGATTTCAAATTGCGTATTAAGACGCCATTGAAATACTAGTTTAATTATTAAATCCTTTTTTGATATACTATGGATTTAACAATTTGCGAATTGCCCATGACGAAATGTCTGCAATAGAATTTTTTTCAAATAAAAGAAGTACTACTACTACTGCATCGTTCATTATAGAAAATTATGTTTAAACAACTAACGAGATGAAATTATGCTTTAGCGATAACTCGATAGCGAAATAGTGATGTAGGAATCCGTTTAGTTATGTTTAGCCTTTTTTAATAAATTATAATAATGATCTGAAATAGTTATTTACTCTTACACTTCTATTCAGTTATGTCTAGCCTTTTTTATATAAATTATAATAATAAAATGTATTATGTGAAATTAACCTTTCATCTAAATTAAAACAATAATCTTAGTTATTTTTTATTATACTTCCATTCTTCCATTAGGGTTGCCACAATTATTTTTGGCATCACTGGCATCAACAATAGTGTGGCGATTTTTTACGGTCCTCAAAACGGAATAGTACTTTTTTTTTTTTTTTTTGTAAATTATGATTAAAGTTATTATTTCTCCATTATTTCATAATTCACTAGTTCATGTTTGTATTTTTTTATTTTCTGTGTGTTATCTTACTAGATTTAATATGATGATCTAATATTTGGAAAATTCAAAATTCATAATTGTCAATGAGTCCAGAACTTGAACTTTATATTATATTACAGCTTTTATTAAACTTTGTATTTCTTTTGTTCTGTATAATTTTCAGATTTACTGCACATAAAATACATTAATTTTTTAATATTATTGTCTTTCTGATTGAATTACTTTTTATCATTTTAGGAGACAACTGAGCCATACTTTTTAGGAATTTTCTGCTCTGAGACTGTATTAAAAATTCTAGCTTTAGGTTTTGTACTTCATAAAGGGGCTTATCTACGCAATATCTGGAACATTATGGATTTTGTTGTTGTAGTAACCGGGTAAGTTATTCATTTTTTAATTTTATTGCAAAATTATTAACCCATTACTTATTATGCAATGAAACCTTTATATACAGCACTTTTCAATCATAATTTCTGGTACAGTAGTACATTTGTAAAAATGAATTAAGGTTTTGAAAGATTTTTGGCATAAATCAATAAAGATTTTTTTGGCATAAAAAAAAAATTAACATCTGTTGAAAGGGCAGGGGAACAGCTGGATATGGTAGGCAAACAGTAGTATATTGAAACATATCACCTATAGAAAGCCTGTATTCCATCGCCTAGGTATACTCTCTCTTACCTGAAAGTTTGTAACTGAAATGCTGAAAGACACTGTATCTTTAGATGTACAATGCGCAGAAAAAAACTGGAACGGTTCTGTATCTCCCGTTCTACTGGGCCGATTGACGAAATTCAAATCGTGAAATATGTGGAGAAGTTTAAAAATTTATTTTGGCACACCTTTTTTAACTTTGCAACAAGAATAATTCACTTGGTGGAATTCTTAGTGTATAGTAAAGTACTTGCTTTCCTTTTTTCTCATTGATGCACAAGAGGAGAAAAGGTCTCTTTCAAATAATTTTAACAAAGTGCGTAAACCACATTTTTGTTATTTTCGCTTATATTAAATATGCCAAATTTCAAAACACGCCAAAATGTAAATTCACAATTAAAATTTAAAAAATAATAAGTTTTTATGCACAATGTATAATACACAAATGTTTTCGAAATATTTATAAAAAATATTTAAAAAATGCAAATTTTTAAAATAATAAAAAATGTGTGAATTATGTTTGGATTAAGCCTAAATTTTGAACTCTGGAACAAAGAATCAAGTAAGTTTAATTAAAAAAAAAGAGATATATCCAAAGATATATATATATATAAATAAATATATATCCAATTCAATAAACATTGAGGAGCTAAAGTTTGAGAGCTAATTTTTAGAAAAGTACTCATGTGATTTTTACAAAACTTGGCATAATTTGAGTCATAGAATCAAAATATGGAGGGGGAGGGGAATTGGCATATCATTTCAGAAAAAGTCCGATTTTTGTGTCAAAATACCTATATTAAAACAATGCTATATATAAAACTAATACATATCCTAAGTAGCCCTTTCGAGACATGAAAAACGCAAGTTAATTTCAACAATCAGAAAGATATAGAACTGTCCCATTTTTTTTTTGCACAGTGTACATATGTATGTCTGTGTTATATACACGCACATATATGCACATACACATGTGCATACATACATTTTACATATATACATACATATTTATACATACATATGCAAATATATACATACATATTTGCATTTATACTCACAGTTAGTAAGTTTAGAAGGAATTTTTGAACATTTGCATTATGTGTTTGTTTATATCACTTTTGACATCATTACTCTAAAATTTGAATCTGCACCTCCTTTTTACAAAATATCTCTGTTATGCAAATTGCTTTAAGCATTCTTTTAAATTCAAAGCTCTGATTTTTAAAAATCGTCTTTTTTTCCACGTTTTGCATACTTTATGTAAAACAGTTTTTTTTAAAATAAGTAAATGAAAGTTTTAGAAACATAATAATTAATAACATTTTTCTGTTTTAAAATTAAAAGCTTATACTTTTTTGGGCACATTATAACATATTTTTTGCTCATTACTTAGATATTTTACACATTAAAACGTTTTTGCTCATTAGAAAATATTTTTTTCTTGAATAGACTTTCAGATAAGTGACTGTTTCAGAAAGGTTTCACTGTTTGATTATCAAAATGTAAAAATATTTTAGTAATTTTAATTATGTTTACTATGCATGCAGAATATTAAACTTTTTTGAACATTAAATATATATTAAATCAATGATCATAATTTTTAAAATAATGTTAATGTGGAAAATGTAGTATCTTAATCTATATTATGAATATGCATATTTTTATCTGTTGTGTCATAATGTGTTTTTAAGATTGAATTTTCCATCTTATTATGTATTTAAACTCTGAAGTTATCTTTATTTTATTGAAATGAATGTTTATTAATCAAGTTACCTATGTTTTAATGAAATTAATTTTTACATAGTTACAAATCTTTTTCAGTACTGATTCTTTCTTTTGTGTAATTATTCTAAAGAAATTTTAAATTTAAAAAAAAAAAAAAAAAAAAAAAAAAAAACACCTGTATAGTAAGCCTTGAAAAGGTAGAAAAATGACTGGACTTTAATTCACAAAGTTAATTTTTTTTACTGTTATTTGTTCTATGAATAGCAATAGTTTCTTTTCAAATAAACTTGTAGCTTCCATTCATATAAAACAGGACTAAAAGGTCTTTTCATAATTTAATCTAACATCAAAGAAAAACTAGTTTCTGCAGTTAATAAGAGAATAAGAATGGTTATAAAAATATGCAAAAACAATTCTTATTGCCAGGTCCCGTTTTTGATTTTTAGAGACAGTTCATTGAATTTCTTAATTCATTTGCTTGACTTAATAAAACTTCTAATGTTGCTTGAAACTTATTAGAGTAGAAAATTATAATTTATTACTTTAATTACAAATGATACTGAAGCAAACTTTATGAAATATCAATACATGATTTACTAATGATAATTTATTTCAATAAATAAATCAGTGTTCCTTAATATTATTTAATACTTACTAGTGCTACTTTTGACTCTCACAACTATTGTTTGGTTTCACTACAAAGCTATCAAGCAATTATTATACAGTTGATTTTTGCTTTAAAGAAGATGAAGACACGTCGTATGTATGTAACAATGTATGCATGTATATTTTAGCAACACACACACATACAGATGGAGGACAAAATAATATGAACATCTGTGAAATAATGGAAAATCTTTATTAATAGGAGGTTGGACCATCCTTTGACTGAAGTACAGATTGAATGCGATGTGGGATAGATGCATAAAGGTCATGAACTATATTTAAAGGAATATTGAGCCATTCCTCCTGTAGAGCGGTCTCTAATTCCGAAAGTCCGGATGGAGGTAGAAATCGGGAATGAAGTTTGAACTCAAAATATGCCCATAAATGTTCAATAATATTCAAGTCCGGAGACTGAGGGGGCTAAGTGACATGTTCAATTGCATCATCATGCTCTTCGAACGATTCTTGAATACACCTAACAGTGTGGATATAGGCGTTGTCGTCTGAAAAAGCGTTCGCTCTCCAGGGAATACAGTCTGAACAGAAAGGATGGACATGATCCCATAGAATGCTTAGATAGTGATTCTCTCTTGCAGACCGTGCCAAGATATCACACTCCATACCATAATAGCGCCACCCCCTTGCTTCCCAGTCGGCAAGAGGCAGTCAGGATGAAATGTTTCTTTGGGCATTCTGCAGACATAAACGCGTCCGATTGTCTGAAATAGGATGAATGACGATTCATCTGGCCATATTACCTGTTGCAACTGCTGTGGGGATCAGCCTTTGTGATCTCTGCACCATTGGCGTCGCTTGAAAGCATTAGTTGCTTTCCCCAAGGGTTTACGAATTGCCATTCTGCCATAAATGTTCGCAGCATGAAATTCCCTTTTGACAGTTTTTGTTGAAATGGGGTCCTGGAGATGACTGTTCATTTTGGATGTTATCTCGGATAACGATTGCTTATGCTTTCGGCCTACTATGCGCTTCAAGACCCATCTATCCCTATCAGCCAGCTTTGACTTTCGGCCACTGTTGTGCTTTGAAGACGTCGTCTTACCCTCTTTCATGTATGCTGTCATAACAGCTGATACCGTACTCCTTGCACACCCCACAAGGTTTGCTGTTTCTGTAACCGATGTTCCACTTAAACGCGCTCCAACTATCATTCCTCTTTGGAATTCTGACAGGTTTGACTTTTCAACTTCTCATACGCAGTTCGATTCGAAGCATGCAATGCAGTGACTGCTGTTGAGAGACTGATACCTTCCTCTTCACACTCACTAGGTGGCAGACTTCTGTTGCAGGTGGCATGGCTGTTCTGCAGGTGTGAAATATGTCATACTTTTCCACAGGTGTTCGCATTATTTTGTCCTCCATCTGTATATATATACATATATACATATTTCCTGTGTTTTTTTTTTTACTTATTTTACTGTCAAAAAAAACTATATCGGAATTACTGGAAAATTATGCAAATAATTTAATTTTCTAAGTACACGGATACAGTAAGACCATAAAGAAATGAAAAGTAATGATGGATAAATTACAGATAATTTTTACAATGTAATTGCTTTAAAAAAACTACATTCCAATGAGAATGCATATTAATAGTAATATTGCAATGTCTAATCAGGTATCTTCATTTTTCTTTCTTGTAACTGGAATCTCACCATTTGTCTCTGCTACTCTCAGGCCTCAGTTCATCAATAAATAATTAGAGAAGGTTAATGAGCAGCTGACTTAGTGAAATCATAGACTGAATGTCAGTCATGTTTGCTTTGCTGTCACTAGTCGGTTCTCTTATTAAGCTGACGAAAGGCTCAGCATAACATTTGTAGATAGTTTGTGAGGAATTGCTTTTGTTACTAAGATGAAAGCAATCATTATGGTGATGAATGCATTTTAAAATTTATGGGAGTTTATTCTCTGATGCATTGAGGGAAGGGGGAATTCTACACATATTTAAAAAAAAATTCAGAACCTGGTGATAAAAAGTGAGGGGAAGAAACACCCAAAATATAGCACATATGCTATTCAAAAAGAAGATAATTTTTTTTTTTAATCTGAGGAAAAAGAGTATAATGGGGAATATTTAAGATGTCTTAAACGTAAAAGTGAAAATTTAGAGTAGTCGAAGATTGCAATCTAAGCTTTTTGTACGGGTAGTTAAAACTTGTGACAGACATATTTATCAGTCAACTTGCTTAATATTTTATCATGCCCAAATTACATACATTTTCTACTGTCGTATAAATTAACTAAAGAGATTAAATTTTTATATTTTTCATAATTTTCTTTACAAACTTGATTTTTAATAAAATGTTTTGGA